CACACACACACACACACACACACACACACACACACACACACACACACCATTCACCCTGTGTTGCAACGAATCCAGTGGCATACTTGGTAAGAATAGCGCTCTTCCTCTGTGTAGGTCTTCATTAGTTTGTGTGCACAGGTGTGTTTTGTGTGGTGGTGTAAGTGATGTGAATGACCCGGCCAAGTCCTCCTTCACCTCCCTTTCTTCCTCTCTTTTTGCCACCTTGTGAAGATGTAGTCTCCCTCCTGTTCAGGGGTTGTCTTCATTCTTTTTTTTTTTTTTTTTTGTGCTTTCCTGTCTCTGGGCCCATCACAATGACAATAGCTCTGAGGGAAAAAGGCAGGCAGTCTCATTTATTTCAATTAGACCTTTGCACTGGTGCAGCAGGAGCTCTAGTCGGGATGTCTCTGGTAAAAACAAAACGCAGGTTAGTATGGCGAAGAATTTGACTTTTCCTTTTATGCAGCGCAGTGAAACATCATCTGCTGGCCAGTCAAATACTGTATTTGCAAATGCACATACCAGGTAGATAACTGCACTGTGCAGAAATGCTTCTTACCTCATCGGCATTTAGCTCGGGGAGAAAATAATTGCTGCCACGATAACTCTCAATAGGACTATTATTGTATAAACGGCTGTGCACTGTTTGCTTTTGATAAGACATACTGGTTTGCATTCCACCTAACACAGCCCTACCAATGCAGCCTGTAGATGTAGGTGTGCCAAGTCATACTTTAGGGCCAGCGTGTATTCTTAATTTTCTTTATTGGTAACACCTATCGAGCAGAGAGACCGTCCCGCAGCTCCCCGTCTTCCCGTCAGGCCTGTTGCCATAGCTACTGGAGTTTTGAAAAGGGTTACTTTCACTCATAATTCATCACCGCTTAAAACATCCTCTCAAGAATACTGTTGTCCCATATAAGCTGTCAGCAATGATGATGTAGTAGCCTCAGAGATAAGCTGATTGGCTGACCCCACGACAGCAGCAACACTCGAAGGGGTCAGCGGCAGGTTAATGACGTCCGCCAGGTTAATGACGTCCGCACGTAAGCAGTGACCTGACGTCAGCTGCCCTCCCCCGACCTTAACTTCAGCCAGTGGTCCGAGCGACCTCGAATCTGATCCTCAAATGCCCGATATTATTTTCATGCTGGTGCTGTGCAACATGACGAAACACAATAACAAGCACAGAGAAGCACAGACGAGACTGAATCAGACAGCAGAACTGAAATAGCACAAGAAGGTGAGAGTTGCACTCGCCGGCTAGCAGTTGCCATTCCTCCACTGGCGGCTGCTATTGGCAGCAGTTGGACTATAAGTAAGGAACAAACTCACAACCCATCCCCATTTCTCCAGCTAGTCTAGGTATAAACTGGCGATCTCCTGCTCTAACATTTAAGCAACTGGTGTTTAGCACTGAACCCCACCCCGATTTTCCCACCCACCCAAGGAATTCAAATGCACTCCCCTAACCTCGAGGCAACAATCTCATAAATGCCCATCTCAACTGCGTTTGAGTGATCAGTGTGGGAAAGGCTGCGTGATGTGGGAGAGGAGGGGGTGGAGGGAGGGGGTGAATACGTTTAGTTTGACCCTGTCATAGTTCGGTGGAGAGGGCGAGGCAGGGGGGAGAGAGGGAGCACTGGACAGCTGTTAGCCACACAGTCATGATGGATGGCCAGGCGCTCTGTCAGCTCCCTGTGTGGAGTTCATGTTTGTGCTGGATCATAACTTCTAGCCTCTGGCCGTCATTAGGGGGATATGTTTACGGGCACAGTGAGATGGTGGCTGTTTTTCTGTAAACACAAATGTTTGGTCATATTAGAAGCAGCTCTGTTGTAGAAAAATATGTGTGTCGGGAGGAAGCAGACAGACACACCCTCAAACACACACCGTTCATCACCACAGCCCTGTTACCTGGCTATATATGTCTGCTGTGGGTGTGTGCGCTGCAGTGTTTGTTTGCGTGTCTCTGTTTTGTCCCTGAGCTTTATTAGTGAACCGCTGACCTTCTCCATGGTTTGAGAGTGGATCAATACAACCCATTTTGAGAGAGAGAGAGAGGGAGAGAGGGAGAGAGGGAGAGGGAGAGAGAGAGAGAGAGAGAGGGAGAGGGAGGGAGGGGAACGAGTTTCAGGAGGTAAATGAGAAAGACGGCAGTTAGAACCAGAGAGAGGAAGAAAGAGACGCAGGACGTGGGCGGGCTTAAAAATGAGAGGACGCGAGGGAGTCGGAGAGAGAGGAAGAGTTAGACGCCAAAGCAACATGCAGGAGAGAGAGTAAGGGAATTTGAAAGAGAGGTGTTGAGGAGATGAGCGAGTCGGAGTGAGTGTGAAAATAACAGAGCGAGCCCAGGAAGAGGCTTGAAGGGAAGAGAAAAGGGATTGAGAAAGAATGCGCAAAAAAAAGGAGGAAATAGCATCAGTGCTGTTGAATGTGTCCAGAATGCAGTCAAGTTTCCCAAACCTGAACTTCAGCACTTCAGTTCACATCATACATAGATTTGTGTGTTCAGGCATTTTGAACTTGCACGCTGTGGAAATGACTGTACTGCAGGCCGGCATATGGACCACTAACTGCAGTCTGAAACACAGGAAACCAAACCAGTCGGCTGCAGGCCAGTTCAAGAATGGAGATCTTTTTTACGGTTACCGCCATGAAAATATCCAACATTATCAGTCATGAGGAGTTTGATGTTGGGCCATGTTTTGTGCTGCAGTCACGGCTGTCCAACTGGGTTTTCGATGTGACGTCAAAGTTATGTTTTTTAGTTGTGCCGGTTTTCTTTCCAGTCAATTCAGAACTGACTGGAAAGACCGATCATCTCTGGAGATTGATGTGAATCAAATGTCAAAACATCTTTGAACATGTCTTTAAATCATATTTCCAACTGTTTTTCTGTGTGATTTTCTATTTTTTTTTTTAGATTTGACAAAAATATTCAGATTCCAAACATGCACATAACTACACATGACCCTAGCAAGCAAGACAGGGATTTAAAGAGAATGACACTAGAGCTGGGGGGGGGTACGTAGGGCACGTAGGGAGAGACTGAGAGAACGAATACCAGCCAAGGAGAGAGCAACAAGCCTTTTACAGCCAGGGTGTGCTCGAAGGAGAGCCAATGATTCACCGACCAAGAGAAGAGGAGGGCGAGAGGAAGAGTGATAGCCCCAGAAATCTTTTCGTCACCGCTGCCAAGAACAGCGTGAGGAAAGGGTGGATGAGAGGAGAGGAGAGGAGAGGAGAGGAGAGGAGAGGGTGATTGAACGCTGGCTGCTGCACAAATAATATCGGTGTCCGTCACCTGGCCAGCACATTGTCCTCCTCAACAGCACGGCTCTCTGTCATGTCAGCTGTGTGTGTGTGTGTGTGTGTGTGTGTGTGTGTGTGTGTGTGTGTGTTGTGGCTCACCTGACAGGGTGTGTATATCTAGGAGTAGGTGCTATAATAAGGATGACTCAGGAACACAACAAAACTCTTTTGGTGTTTATGAAATATCACTGGATTTCAAGAGGTGTCCTCCAAACAGAGAAAGTCAGGGACTCTTTTTGCTCAGGGGTCACTTTGCAAAACATGTTTTCTCACTCACTGAAGTCATCACATTAAATGGTGATTTCCAGCAGCAAGCAAAACATTAAACTAGCCAGCTGTAGCCTTTTTAGGTTATTAGAAAACATTTAGTTATAGAAAGTCATGGAAAGGTCGTGGTATTTAACACCAGGGCAGCACAGGGAAACACGTTCATATAACCTTTAACCCTATTTCATCATTATATCCACATTATTGATTATTTATCAAAAATGTCATTGTGTAAATAT